CACACACTGCGTGTGAGTGTGTGTGACAGACAACCCAGTTTGGAATCCTGTTGGCGGAGGTTATAAAACCCGGGAGAGTTCAAAATTGCGGTCCAACTGGATGAGAAAGCTTTTTGGAAGTTCATTGTGTTAGAAGTGGGTTGACCTCGTTGTTGCAACTTGGTCTTGTTGTCAAGGCGACTATGTAGAACGCACCTAGTCCGAAGTCGTCTGCCATAGTAGTTGTCATGATTCCCAGCATCAGACAGTGGGCATTATAAAACTTTTCGCCGGCATCTTAGTAGGCATCATCAGTCAGTTTTGCCATTCTCCGCCCCAAGATACGAACTCGTCAAAGAGACAAGTGAACATATACTGGGAATCATGACAACTACTATTGCAGACGACTACGGACTAGGTGCGCTCTATTAAGTCGCCCTGACAATAAGACCAAGTTGCGACAACGAGGTCAACCCACTTCTATAAATCGAAAGGAGACCGCGACCATGACAGAGACCACAACATCTTCGTCTTCATATCTTCATTGTGATAGATTCAACTATGAATGCTCAATCTGTGGTTTAGACAATAAAGATTCGTAAATAAATCTGTTAAGTTGTTTGCATGTGCTACTGACCATAACTTAGTAGTGACTTGGTAGAAAAGTCCGCTGTTGGTTGTCTGGCTGGTAGGGCGGAAAATGTGGAGTCTTTACCTTTTCGTCACGCTCGAGAGCTCCGAAGGTGATGTATGTCTCGTTGTCGGCATGCCGCCAGACGCCTGCTTCGCGGTCCGTTTGTCCGGTCAACTGAAGTGAGCCTGCCTCGGGGAAGTTGACCGGACCGGGAGTACCGGCGCATCCGATGGTCCAGGGGCTTGAGGTGGACAGAATGGGCGCCCAGTAGCCGACGAGGTCCGTCGAGAGGCCAGCCAACGGTCTGGAAGGGTCGGGCAATCGGAGTAAAAGGAGGAGTCGCCGCGAGTCGGCCGGCTGCTCACCGACGCGCAGAGTCGAGCTGGCCGGCTGCATGCCGGAAGGCCGGGATGGCGGAGAATGAACGTCTCAACCGGACTGGGTGAGTGAGTAAGTGAGTGAGTGTGTGAGAGAGTGAGTGAGCAGTGGGCGTCTGCAAACGGAGACATCTGCCTCTGAGCGACAGGCACCGACATGTTTTGGCATCGCTTCCGGATTCTGCTGACTCTGTGGAATTGATTCGCCGGCTTGACCCGGTCGGGTGAGGTGTAACGCAACCCGGCTACTACTGATTCTGCTGCTGTTGCAAATGCTGATGCCGATAAAGATGATGATGATGATGATGATGATCCTCCTAACTGGAGAGAGAACGGGTGAGGCTTGTATGACCACCACGATCAGAGACATGTCGCCTGCGGGTAGACGCCAGCCAAGAATGCACAACAGGTCCCGTCAGGTTACCTGCTCACTCGGCAAAGGGTAGACTGGCCTGACGAGTAAGGTGAAGATAAGGCAAGTAAATATTGAATTGGTTTGACCTCATTTTCACGAATTGATCTAAACCTCCAGGAACCATATCATCATCATCATCATCATCATCATCATCATCA